AAAATCTAGCTATGTATTGAAAATGAAGCGATGGTACGTAAGTTGGAAACCAGAAACCATTGCCTACCTACCAGAAATGCTGCAGAAAAAACAATAACTGTAATATATCATGGCTTTCAATTCTCATCCCTGCAAAGATAACCTTCCATTTGCTAAAATAAGTTAAATTTACAACTTTTGAGTTTAGTAATACTTGAGTAAGTCAGCAATGCATATGGGAAACTGATGGCAAATGAACAAATCCAGAACAAATTGTGCTGACCAGAAAAAATATCTTTAACAGAAACTGGACCTATTCTCACACAATATATAATTATTGCCACAAGAAGATGGAAGGTGATGTCCGCCTTTTGTCTATTGCATATTATGAAATTATTGTATTAAAAGGTTTCAAACGTTAAAATACCTTTTGGATGTTATAATCAGACAGAGTACGTCCATCTTCCAATTGTTTGCCAGCAAAAATTAAACGCTGTTGGTCAGGAGGAATCCCTAGTGGGGAAAAAGTAAAGGGTTTTGTTGTGTTTTAAGCAATTATTCTCAATTCATTTATTTCACTGTTTGTTAATCCTAATCAATTCTGCTTTGTGAAGGGCAGATACATTTCAAATACTGTCAAGTTATAAAATATCACAGTAAATACATCAAATATCTCGAGAAACTTCTCAATAACTAACAAGCTTTTGTTAATCTTAATTGGGCCTTTTAAATTTGAAAGATACGGGTGCATTAAATAAGCTTTTATGAAGTGCAAGTCTCTAAACTTGGTTGTTTGCTTAAAGACATTTCATAACCCAACTAGGTCATTAGTGCTAGTGTGGAATTTGTTCCCAGATAAGCAGGGATTAACACTAGACAAAAATGAAGAAAAACAACATCCTAATTAAGGATCTCACAGGGTTGTTTGTGTATGTTCACCACCTTGAGTTACCTATAAAGTAAGCAAAGGCAGCATAAGTAATCTATAACCAAGGAGAAAACCATACCCCCAACACTGGCAGAATAAGCTACTGTATCTAGAGAACTAACCCTGCATTTACTAACACAGATGCTAACCAGTTTGGCACTAATATGTCTGCAGACAAACAAGCAAGCTCAGAGAGCATCAAGGACTCTATATAGTTCAACCCTGAGCTACAAACATTACATTCTCTTCTAATGAGCCATTATATTATAAATCATTTGTTGGAACTGGAATTAGCAGAAGAGTCAACAGAATTTAGAATTACTTAGAGGCACTAAACAACTTGGTACAAGTTTATTTACAGAATAATATTCCCCAATTAAGTCTCTGGACAAAAGAAACATTTTTGGTATTGTCTTAGTACTGCAACCTCATAGATATAATTAAATAAATTATAGTAAATAATACATTTGGAAAAGTGAACACAATAGGATATATTAAATAATACACAGAGCCAAAATACTTTTATGACTTACAACATCTTCATATGCATTTTATGAATTTCTCAGGACTATTGAATATGTTGATCAAATAACTTAAACTTTAATTTTATGTCCTATTGCTGTTTGCTGATTAATTCCTTTTTATGAGTTATTTAATTTTTTAAACAAAGAAATTAGATTTAAAATATTTAGCAACTGATAAATATTAAAGGGTGATACTTCCAGCATTGTATTATCATAAGGTAATTTAAAATCATGATGTATTAAAGATTACAGCATGCACAACGTTCACATCAGTTTTCTGTTTTCTGCATAGAAAGATCCCCCACTCTTTCATCACAAAAGGAGCACTCCAGATTAAACATGGCATATATCTGGAAGAATAAAATCCCATTCATCCAGTGGTGGCTGTATCCATAAAGATCTGAATAAAAGCAGCCATCTAGCCATGTCTCCTAATAATTACCTAATCTCTGTTTAATATATTTATACAGTCACAACGACTTCTGTATTCTTCTTTTTTTTTCAAATGACAGAAAATAATTACTGTCAGATTTTATGTACAGTACTGCCTTCCATAATTATCTTGACTAAAATCCTCTTGCATGTATGAAATCACCAAATTGGGCAATCTGGCTAGTGGATGGTGAGAGTTGAGTGTATTATGGCTGGATGGCACACCAGACTGTTGAAGAGTTGCTCAACAATTTGCTTTTAATGTACATAAGGGGTATACAAAGGAAGGAAGGAAAGGTGCTCGAGAGAAAGATCAGTGAGACAAAAGCAGTGGATATGGGAAGGAGGGAAAGGTGCTAGGAAAATCAGGAAACAGGTGGACAGACTGATATGCCACTGGCAGTGATAACTGAGGAGAGAAAACTGGCAGGCAGGCAGGCAATCCAGTGAGATGCCATGCTGATAGCCCCTAAGGAAAGAGAACAACAATTTGCACCAACCTTGCCAAATTTGCCCATAGGATAAGGCTTTTATTTGATCTAAAGCCAGATAACCAAAGTATTCTAGGTTGTTTCTAATAAATCGCTAGTCTGAAACAACAAAGTAGAACTTTTGGAATGTATTGGTTTCTTCTGGGTTCAAAATAAAATATTTCTCCATTTCATACAGATCTATTATCATGAAATAACTGAATTTAGGAGAGCAGCATAAAAGAAGTTTATCCAGCATAATTTTACAAATATAGGAGTTTTATTGTTTCCAATTATTTTTTTACTTGCGGTGTAAACTGCCCAGAGTAATTTAGGACACAAACCATTCCCAAGTCTCATAAATTATATCACACCCACCTTCTTTATCCTGGATCTTGGCTTTGACATTTTCTATAGTATCAGATGGTTCAACCTGTTGTAAAAGTTTTAAATTGCACTGAAAGGCTTATACAATCAAACTAGTTATACATAAACATATTGTACTTGGTTGCACAGTCAGCCAGATGTTTAGACTAGATTTGGCAGTTTTGTCTATTAATCCCTTCCCTATGACCTTTGACAGTCAGATGTTTCATGGTGTTAAAAGGTATCATAGTATTTAAGCTATTCCTAAGTACGTAAGCTATTCCAAGTAAAATTGCCCTTTTGCAATTGACTCATTTTATCAATGCAAGTGTTCAAATGACACTCCCATGTCTTGAAATTGCACTCAAGGTGCCTATTATTATAGGTACTGTAGTTGCTATCATCATAATTGTCCTACTTCCATTTGCAGGTGTTTTTATCTTGTGACTTTCTCGTTCATTCTCTTCTACTCTGCTGTTTCCAGGTGTTGCATGTCCATTGTCCAGACTCTTATGAACAATTGTTTTGTTTGGGGTGTTGTTGTGTTGCAGATGTTTGTGTGTTGAATTCTACAGCATTTTAGCTTCTTCATTTCCTAATACAGTTATTGCTGATTTCTCAATTCGGGCTTTATAAGCTTATTAAAACAGCGTCAAATTAAACAGGTCTATTAGACTATAAAATATTTTACTATTTCAGCTTAAAAGCACTTCTTGTAGAATCTGTTGCCCTTGGCATTATAACTTCAATTCTACCAAAGGGTTATGTCTAAAATTCATTTTAAGCTGTACTTATATCCTTATATTTTGAATTATGAAGAGCTTTTTTTCTTTTTTGATGAAAATGACCAACAATACTTTAACATGCTTCATTATATATCACATGCACAGTTGAGGAAAAGCAAAAGCAATTAAATGAACATGAAAACAGGTAAATATTACAGAAATAGTATATTCCTAATATTTATTTTTGTAATTTAAAATGCTATCTGCTACCCTTCCAAGCAAAGTTTCCTTCAAGATGGTTTAGTTTCAGCTAAGTTTAGTTTACTTTGATATCAAGTATATAAAAGATAGGAATAGCATAAAATATATCTTAAAACAGCCCAAAATATGTAACAAAATAATAAGGGATTCACAGGATATTGGGTGTAAAAGCAATTAATTGAGAACATGACAAATATTTCACTCTAGCAATTTATCCCATTTCAAAGCTTTAATTATTTCAGTATTTTTAATCTCCAGGCAAAAAGCAGGTAAATCGTTTTCTAGAAATACACAAGGAACAAAAATTCATTTGATTAAATTAATCTGCACTACACAAAATGATCTGTTTGCCCTCATGTCTTCTTGTGGGTTGGCTACCATGGGACTTGAGATGCTAAGAGGCCTTTTTGCAGTAACTTCTTTTTCTGACCCACTTTACCTACACTAGAAACAGCATTAAATCATATCTGCGACTATTTCGGGACTTTTGTGGATGGATGAAAAAAACGGAGCAGAAATTTGAATACTCTATCACCTGCATTTTCTGCATAGACCTCCAGTTTTCTAAGCAATGCCATCTTTACCTTCATCCTTTAAGCCTCTGCAAAAATTATAACCTTCCTATCACTTTACTTCTTTGTAGCATTATTTCATTGACGAAAATACCGTTTTTCTTCGCTCATTTCCTCGCTTCAACGCCCACGGGGAAGAGGTTTCTAACTTCCATTCTGCAGCGAGGCACCATTTTCCCTCAATCTAACAATCCCGCGACAAAATGCCCACTGCCACCCCAAAAGAGAGCAACAGAAAGGAGAAGGGAACCGGTTTGAAAAGAGCACCGGTTAAAAGTCCGCAGACTAACCACGCTGCTGCCTTCCTCACCTCGAGGGTAATGGTTTTCCCCGTCAGGGTCTTCACGAAGATCTGCATGACGGCGGTAGAGCGCCTGGTGATGGTTGTACCTAGAGGGGGAAAAACAGCGAAAAATCAAGGCTTCGGTCAGCGCCAACCCTGAGAAATAAAAGGCATTCCAAGTAGGCCAAGAGCTCACCCACCACCCGCTCTCAGAATGGCCGACGCCGGAAAGAGAGGCTGCTTCGCTACGCACGGGGTTTCCGAGCCTTGAAACAAGGAAGAAGGGCCATGCGTTGCCACACCGTAGGACTACAATCTCCAGTACTCATTTCCTTTCGAAATTATTGAAAAGCATGATGGGAGTAGTAGTTTTAGTTAAACGGCGGTGCCTAGTGGAGAAAGTCTACGGCCGGATAAGTCGCGGAAGAATCATCAGGATTCTAAGCCGAATGTTAAGTAACCGGAAGTGGGAAAAAGGAAGTGTGGAGGAAAACTACACTTCCCACCAGTCCCCCAAAGGCCGCTAGTTTCCTTTCCCTTCCTGATTAACAGTTCCGCCTTGTTGTTACCAACAGTTGGTTTCTAGGAGAGTTTAGTTGGATGAAAGAGCTGGGTTTTCCTTGGCAGCATCTGGAGACAAACGAATAGGCCGCTTTCTTAACGGCCTCTCGTGAGAGCGAGAAAGAGAGTTGAGGGCTTTGCGTTGAGATAGTTCCCTTAGAACCCAGAGACTGCTAGGAAAAGGCAGATGGAGTCCTTCACTGTGATGCTGAGTCTACAGACATAAGTATTATTAGTCAAAAATGGTGTTCTAGAAATGTTTCCAAAGGGTCTAAAATATTTCAATGATGTATTGAAAGTAAAATAGGTTAAGAGTTTTTTAAAAAAATAATAATTTCCATTTAGTTTTTAAACAGAATAAATGTTTAGAATAAAACAAGTATATTAAATTATTAAAATATACTTTTTTTTAAAAAAATTCAAATACTGTTGACATTAACAATAACAAAAATTACCAATAATGTAAGCGAAACACTAACTTTTCCACATATCAAAAGACTATTATATTCATTGTTACAAGACAGTTTTTAAAGAAGAAAGTTGTTTGTAGTCATACTGTCTGTTCTGTCTGTTCTCCAGTCTAAAGACTAATAATTGACCACAAATATTTTATTGTGATTTTTTATCTGTTTGCTTATGTGACCTTTGTGTGCTACTGGCAAATGCCAAGTCTCTGAAATGAGATTGCATCCAGTCATGAGTCAGTGACTGATAAATACACAGATCTGGTATGCATTACTGAGACCTAGGCTAGGCAAAAGCAAGGGTGGGTTTCTACTGGTTCTGTCCACCTCTGTAGAACCGGTTCTATGTCTGCTGATGTTTTTGCCCACCCAGGCTCTTACCTGATCTTTATTTCCTGATTTTTCAACTTCAGCTGCCAAACGAGGCACAGCTGCAGTTAAAAAAAACAAGAAAAGAGGGCTGTTTCAAAGGCTGCTTCTCCACACACAGCCTGCTAATGATAATTAACAGGTGTGTGGCTCACAACCGGCAGGGAAGCTCATAAATCCCGAAACGAAAGTTAACCCTGTCTATCCCACCCCTGGGCAAAAGTCATGATGCCATTCAAAATCTGCCCAGCTGAGACCTACATTATATCTTACATTAGCCTTGAGGGGAGCTGGAGACCAACATTAATTACATCCTATATATTAACCTTGAGGGTGTGGCATTGGTCTATTGTTCTTAAAGCAGTAGCGGAGTTGGGCTGTTGAGAAGATGGAAGTCCTGTTATATTGGCTATTTGCCTCCCCGCAGATTTCCTCCCTTGGCTTCTTGACCTGGTTATTGGGCTGGTGATAAAGACCCCTCACCTGCCTTTTGATGTTGGGGATCTTCAGCCTTGTGTTGTGCACTTATTCTGGCCAGGGCCTCCATAGAGTGTCTGTCTTTGAAGATCTTTCAGAAGCTGCATTTGGTTCAGAGTGCAGCACCCCATGTGCTTATTGATTGCACAATACACTACTGTATACTTGTTGCCAACAGGCTTCTGAGTAGAATTTTAATGCTAGTGTAAATCTATAAAGCCATATTGTCGTATCTCTCATACGAACAAAGGACGCGAGGCAGTGACTTGGTTCAGCTCTTTATTCGGGGTAAAACACAAGTGGGGTGAGTGGGGGAGAAGTGCGGCTTAAAAGCATTTTCTGCCGAGTGCTGCGGCCAATCGGGTCGTTTTGAATCGCCCGCGATCGGCTCAGCCAATCGCGGCCGATTCCGAACGACCAATCAGTGCCGTGCACTCAGCCAATCCGGTGGCCGTGCGCTTTAGCCAATCCGGGCTGCCGGATTTCGAGTATGCAAATGTCTGTACAGAACACCCCTCCCCTCTTGGTTTGGTCCTACGTGACGTAGTCCCGTAAGTAGGCGGGGCTCCGTATTTTCCGACTGGACTTGCGCTGGTCAGTTGTCTCCTGGCTGTCGGCCGGTTCGGGTGGGACTCCTGTCGCTCTCCGCCTCGTTGATGGACCCGCCTGGAAGGGTGAGTCAGGCCTCTCGCCGCGGCTCCCTCCTGGTCTCCCCGGGTTGGTCGAGCTGCTGGCTTTGCTGCTCCCGCTCGGCTTTTCCGGGCTGGTTGAGCTGGCTTGGCTGCTCCCGCTCGGGCTTCCGGGGCCGGTTGAGCTGGCTCGGCTGCTCCTTCCAGGTGAGGCTTCGAGTGGGTCGCTCTCCGGTTCTTCAGGTGGTGAGTACTGCTGGTTTCTTTTTGGGTGGGTTTGTTCTTTTTGTTCTTTGGGGCCTTCCCTCCCCTCTTGGTTGGTGTTTTGCCGGTTCCTTTCAGTGTCTGGTGTTTGCGTGTCGGTTGTATTTCCCGCGGTGGTTCTTGATCTCAGTTGGTCGATGTGGCGTTTCCACGCTCGTCCGTCGGTCGTTTGAAGGCGGTACGAGTGTGGACCTGTTGCTTGGGTGATCGTTGCCGGTATCCAGAGGGAGTCCCCGGTAAGGTTTTTTGCATAGACCCTGTCTCCTGGTGCGAATGTTCTGCGTTTGCTGGTGGAGTCAGGGGGTTTCGCTGGGTTGTATGTGGGGTGCAGGCGGTCGAGCGGTGATCGCAGTTTCCTCCCCATTAGTAGCTCCGCTGGGCTCTTGTTCGTTGTAGTGCTCGGGGTTATGTGCTGTATTAGCAGCATCCAGTTTATTTTGTCTTGTATGTCCCCGGTTTCGATCTTTTGAATGGTCTTCTTCGTGAATTGGACCATTTTCTCCGCCCTTCCGTTCGCCGCCGGGTGCGCCGGTGCCGTTAATGCATGCCGGATCCCTCGTTCTGCCAGGAATTTCTCGAAGGGCAGCGCGGTGAACTGGGGCCCGTTGTCTGACACGATGACATCGGGAAGGCCGTGGGTTGCGAAAAGCTTGCTGAGTTCTCTGATGACGGCGTCTGTGGTTGTTGTCTTCATGTTGCTTACCTCCAGCCAATTGGAGTAAGCGTCTACGGTTACCAGGAAGGTGTGTCCTCTGGTTGGTCCCGCAAAATCTACGTGGATCCGGGACCATGGCCCCCTGGGGGTTTCCCATTCTAGGATCGGGGCGGCGGGGGGGGTTGGTCTTGATTCCTGGCACTGCTTGCAGGAGGCCACCCAGGCTTCGATCTCCTTGTCCATCCCTGGCCACCAGGCGTGACTTCTGGCCAGGGCTTTTGTCCTAACGATGCCAGGGTGCCCTTCGTGCAGCATGCTCAGGACTTTTTTTTGCAGTTTTTCTGGAACTATGACTCTGTCCCCCCACAGTAGACAGCCTTTTTGCGTTGATAGCTCTGTTTGTCGGCTCCGGTAAGCTTTGAACTCGTTGTCCACGTCCTTTTCCGGCCACCCTTTTCCCACCCATCTTAGGACCTGCGCCAGACGTTTGTCTTTATTGGTTGCTAGGGCAATGTCTGACGCGGTCAGGGGTAGGTTGGGTAAAGTCTCGATGCTCAGGGTAGATGTGGTGGGTGCCGGGTCAGCATCCAGGGTTGGCAATGGTGTGCGGCTGAGGGCATCCGCGTGTGGGATTGACTTACCGGGGCGGTGGATTAGCCGGTAATTGTAGGCGGTGAGAAATTCGGACCACCTTGTCATCCTTGGGGAGAGGATGATTGGGGTGGCCCGGTCTCCTGCCAGTATTCCCAGCAGCGGCTTGTGGTCCGTGATTATGGAGAAAGTCCTGCCGTAAAGGTATTCGTGGAATTTCTTTACGGCTGCGACGATTGCTAGAGCCTCTTTGTCCAATTGGCTGTAGTTTCTTTCGGGTTTTGAAAGGGTCCTCGAGAAAAAGGCGATGGGGGCTTCTTTTCCGTCGGCGAGGGTGTGGCTGAGGACGGCTCCTATGCCAAAGGGTGATGCATCGCATGTTACCGTGATGGGGAGTGTCTCGCTGTACTGGATGAGGACAGCGTCCGATGTGAGAAGGTCCTTGGTTTTGTTGAACGCGTCCTCTTCTTGTCTTCCCCACGTCCAGGTGGCTGCCTTGTCGAGCAGCCTATGCAACGGTTCCGCCACGGTTGCCTTTTGGGGCAGGAAAACATTGTAGAAATTAATCAACCCCAGGAACGCTTGTAACTCAGTTTTGTTACTGGGTCTTGGGGCTTCCTTGACGGCTTTGATTTTGCCCTCAGTGGGGTGGATTCCGTGCTGATCTAGGAGATATCCCAGGAATTCAACCCGTGCCGTGCGCAGTTGGCATTTCTCCCTCTTAACTTTTAGCCCTGCACTTTGGAATCTTTGCAGTACCTCCCTTAGGCGGCCTTCCAATTGTTTCTGGTCGGCCGCGGCTACCAGCACGTCGTCAAAATAGGGTACTACCCCTCTTATGCCCCGGAGGAGCCTCTCCATTAGGCTTTGAAACACCCCCGGGGCTACGCTGACTCCGAACTGGAGTCTCTTGCAGCGGAATGCCCCTCGGTGTGTGACTATGGTCTGCGCTTCTGCGGTTGCCTCGTCGACCGGCAGTTGCTGATAGGCTTGGGCCAGGTCGAGTTTGGCGAAAACCCTGTCCCCCCCCAGTGAGTGTAGGAGGTGCTGCACTACTGGGACGGGGTAGGCGCTTTGTTGGAGCGCGCGGTTCAGGGTGGCCTTATAGTCCCCGCAGATTCTCACCGACCCATCTGGTTTTATCGGGGTGACTATAGGGGTCTCCCACCGGGCATGGTCCGTTGGCTCGAGAACTCCCTGCTCAATGAGCTTATTTAATTGCTCATCGATTTTGGGGCGGAGGGCAAAAGGCACTTGCCGGGGTTTGAGGCGGATGGGGGCAATGGTGGGGTCCAGGCTGAACGATATTGGGGGCCCCCGGTACTTGCCTAGGTTGCCGTCGAAGACCTCTTGGAAGTCGCGCACGAGCTGCTCCTCCCAGTCTGCCTCGGCGACGTGGTTGGTGCCGGTCACTTCTATTCCCAGCGGCGCGAACCATTGGAGTCCCAGGAGGCTGGGGCGGTCTCGTTCGACGATGGTCAGGGGGAGTATTTCGGTGCGCCCTTTAAATGTGACCTTGAAGTGCCCGGTCCCTACCACGGGGATGCGATTCCCCTGGTAGTCCTTGAGGATGAGCTTCTGGCTCTCCAGCTTGTGCCGCTTCATGGAGGGTACTAGCCGCTTAATTTCCCGCCACGCGACCATGGATAGGTAGGACCCGGAGTCCACTTCCATCTTGCATGGGCGGTCTTCGATGGCGACCTCCACGTGGACCTTCCGGCCATCCCAGTTGGAGGAATGACCGACGATGATCGTCTGGTGCGTTTCCTCGCGCTGGCGGTTTTCACTGAAACGGCGGCTCCTTGCTTCCCGGCTCCAACGGCTCTCGCTGTCCCGGTCGCGGTTCCTCGGGGGGGTGTTGTCGCGCCTGGCGTTGTCGCATCTCCGTGGGCTGCCGTCTCGGTGGCGGGGGCTGTGGTTTCGTTTGAAACGGCAGACCTTGGCGATGTGGCCCCGCTTGTCACAATGCCAGCATATTGCATCGAAGAACCGGCATTCCGACCGCGGGTGCTCGCCGCCGCAGCCAGCGCACTGGAACTTTGATTTTCGGTTCCGTGGTTCGCGCCTGTCGCGCCCCGTCTGCAGCCGGTGGATGTCTTCCTCGTCATCTTCCGAGTCGGAGGGGGATTCGAGGTCGCCGTGGTGCGTGGATGCGGCCGCTCGGTGGTTGATTTCGGCCCGATTCTCGGGGGTCGCAGTCGTCTCAGCCATGGCGGGCCGCTCCGCGGTGCTGGCCTGCCGCAATTGGGCTGCTGATTTCCGGGTCGCCTCTGCTGCGGTGGCTTCGGCAAGGGCGTCGGCGAGGGAGATGTTGCCCTTTGCCATGATCCGACTCTGTAGGATGGGGTCCCTGAGGCCGTGGACGACGCGGTCCCGCAAGGCTTCATCGAGATCGGTGAACCCGCACAGTCCCCCGAGGTCCCTGAGGTCAGCCACAAAGTTGCTGACACTCTCGCCTTGCTTCTGGTCGCGGCGGTAGAACTCGTGCCGGCGGATGAGGGTGGGCACGGCGGGCGCGTAGTGGCTTCTCAGCAGCGGTTCGAGGTCGGCCCAGTCCATGGCTTTCACGTCGAGAGGTTTGGCGAGGGCTTTTGCCATTTTAAACACTGCGGGCCCGCAGTGCGTGAGGAAGACGGCTCGTTTTCTCTGCCCGTTCGCGTCCTTGAGGTTGCTACTCTCCAAGAACATGAGGAATCTGTCTATGTACGATTCCCAGTCCTCCGTAGCTTGGTTGAAGGGAGCGGGTGGCACGTTTCCGCTGGCCATGTTGCCGATTGCGGTTCCGTGAGCCACGTGCGGTGTGGGACTTGTTTTAAAATCCCACCTTCGTCGCCAGTGTCGTATCTCTCATATGAACAAAGGACGCGAGGCAGTGACTTGGTTCAGCTCTTTATTCGGGGTAAAACACAAGTGGGGTGAGTGGGGGAGAAGCGCGGCTTAAAAGCATTTTCTGCCGAGTGCTGCGGCCAATCGGGTCGTTTTGAATCGCCCGCGATCGGCTCAGCCAATCGCGGCCGATTCCGAACGACCAATCAGTGCCGTGCACTCAGCCAATCCGGTGGCCGTGCGCTTTAGCCAATCCGGGCTGCCGGATTTTGAGTATGCAAATGTCTGTACAGAACACATATATAGCTTAGGGTCTAGTTGTGTACAAGATTATACTGTGCCATTGGAACTCGGCTTACCAAGTTAATGGAAGGAGCTGGTACTAGTTGCCCCTTTTAGGGAAGTACGTGGGAGTAAGGTGTGACAGCCCTGTTTTTCAGTGACAGCCTTTCTTCTGGAATAGCCTTCCAATGGACAATTGGTTTGTCATAGTATTATCATAGCAATAGTAGTAAAATCTTACAATAAGGAACCATCTCTGGTCACATGCAGGTACAGGCTCTAACATTCCTTCAAAGTTATTGTAATAACTTTGTAAAATTGTAATTATTACATCTGCAGAATAGACAGATAATAGACAACCAATAAGCCTGAATATTTTTTCTGAACAAGCCAATCTTAAATTGTACTTAAAAATTTTTTGGAGTCTGAAATGATTTATTTTATGGTATAGGTCAGGATATTCCAATTCTGTATTACAGATGGTAGATTATAATGAAAAACACTTCAAAATATTTATCTGAAAATGATTATATCTGAAAAAACATTTTATGTTGATGACAGTCTTAAGTATTTCAAAATGGATATTTAATATACTAAACATAAAATTTAAAAATCCTTTCAGCTTTGTAAAATTCAAGCTTGGAAATATTTTGTTTCTAACTTATGGTTCAGTTTCCCATTCAGCAGTCCACAGTTACCTGATAATTTATTAACAATGAATTCAATAAGAGGTATTTGAGACCTTGCTATTACACACAACCTCTTCCTCCATATTGAATTTCATATCACACTAGGGGCACTGCAACTAAATTTAGTTTATGGTCCTTAGTTTACCTGCAAATATGCCATGTAGAATGCATTTTTAAAATTGGTGTGTTAGATGAATTTTCATTTCTTTTATTGATGTGGCATTATTTTTAGGTTTGACTGAAGCATGTCTTCTGATCAGAGTAAGGACCTGATACCTTAGTTGCTATCTGCAACAGAAATTTAGATGTCTCCTGCACCATGAAATCAGCCAGTGTTGGAGCCAGTAAACACTCAGTGCTTCCTCCCATCATCCCAGAGACTGAGAAAGAATTCCTGGAGGGCATTCAGAGTTATATCATTTCAGAAATTGAAAAAGTGGGCTGTACTGAGCAAGGACCAGCAGAGGATTATTACATAATATACAGAAATGTGTTTGAAATGGTAACTAAACACTTCTAAAGATATTCCAATTTTCATGATGAGTGAGTGTGATCTTTTTGGCTTTGATATATTGACTGACTTATGCTGAAATCAGTACAATAATAATATGTAGCATGAACTAGCGAGGTGACTTCATTTCTTATAACATTCTCTGCTAGTCTATTAATAGTAATGCTGATTGATCCTTTCAATTGTAAATGTTCAATTGTAAAAGTATGTCAGATAGCCTCAGATAGCCTACACTACCAGGTGTACCATAGGTACTGGACCACAATATGTTACGTAGAGAAACAAGTCCTCAAGCAAATCATTTAAATATGCTGGTTGTTCTACATAGCCTAATATCTTGGTTTGATAAATATGCTTATGAAAGAAGCATTTGGCTAACAGGCCTCTTTAAAGATTTTGTTTTTCCACTAATGCATGAGAAGAAAGGGGATTATATATTTGTTTCCTCTAAACTGTTTTTTTTTAAAAGCCCATAAACTAAAAATGGTTGGAAAAGCAACAAGAATTAAATTATTTTAGATTTAGTCAGATTAGCCCTCAATTAATCTGGTGCTACTCTTCTGGGTGTATAAATTATCTAGAGGTTCTGCTGGACCCTGTGGTGTAGCTCAAACAGGATCCTAGGTTGCATTCTTCTTGTATTTATATTTAGGTCTCATTCACTTTGGGGAGCAGCCTAGGAAAGTGTGGCATCCCTCCTAAACAAAGAAAGAATAAATACCGTAGGCCGGGACACACTCTCTTTCTTTAATCTCTCACCTAAAACAAATCCTGCCCTGTTTTCTGGCAGTGTTGATATGTTCTTGACATTCTGATTATTCCATCCTCTTCTATGAGTTTTAAGATGTTTTGAGTGCTTTAAGATGAGGGAAAGTGCTAATATAAGATAACTTTATTATGAACTTTTTTGAAAGTTTGAATTTAGAAGTATGTATGTGGTGTTTGAGGAATAAAAAGAAATATTAATTGCATTAATTTCCTGCTGATGAACTTTCCAGAAGCATCTACAGACCAATGATGGGGAGCAGGATAGCATGTTAAAATTGTCTTTTGTTTTGATTCAGGAAGACTTTTTTTTAAACCTGCAGTAATGTCGGCTCTTTTTATTGTATTACTAATTATTTATTTATTGTATCACTATTAAAGAGTGTTGACATGTAATCAATTTCTGGATTGTTAAAACAGATAATTGAGCATGTTAATGCATACAAAAGCATTTTGACCACTATCAAGCAAGAATATGATGCTTTTATAGAAGCAATAAAGAAGGGCCAGCATGATGCATTTTATCTTCATGGAAAATTAAAAACGTTAGCATGCGAATCTTCAACTTTAATGTATTATAAGAAAAGAATAACTCAACTGGAAGAAAAGTAAGAACCTCTTTCACGCTTTTGCAGGGGTGGGGTGTTCAAAGCACAATTTTGAACTAGTCTCTTGTATAGTGAGTGACATGATCTGATTTGAAATTGCTAATACTGTATGGTGTTTTTTCATTTTTAAAAAAGCATTTGTATCTTACACATTTGTGGATGCTTACAGAATTAATATTATATCTAATGAAAGTTAGGTTTAGAAAACAAAGGCAAATAAGCAAGAAGTACTATTTTTATGTATCATAATTTCAGACACGGTATACCGCAGATGACCAAGTAGAATGACATTGGAGTTTGCATGCTATCAGATAATGATAGCTAGCAAATTTGACATGAAACAAATGTATCTGCAGCATAATAGTGTATCACAATATGCAGAATAATTCCATGGAATCATTGGTTGGGTAAAATTAAGTGTTATGCTTCATTGAATGGTGATAATGGAAGAATCAGATGTTGATTTGGGGAAAAACTGCAACAGTCTTGCAAATCAGAAGACTTCCTGTGAACATGGCTGACAGTTGACAGGCCCAGAAGACTTCTTTCTCTGGATTGCTGTTTTTGTCAACTTATTAACAGAAGGAAGAGGCATTCCTTTCATTTATATGACTCTTCAGGTTTAGGAAAAGTCCTAGAATCATACCACAAGATCCTCTATGCAGCAGTACTTCAGGAGTTGGTGAACCATTTAGCTGGGGGAGATGGAGGAGCAGGACTGCAATTACTCCATTGTCAGAAAAGCATCCATTTTGGAATTTATTTTTCAAATGGACAATAAGTCATGTCTTTCATTTTTTAACCAGTTTATGAAATTATTATCTTAACCAATTTATGAAATTATTATTAACGGGCTCTCTTCAAGTCACAGTCTGTTACTCCTTTTTGAAGCTCTGCAGCATTTTTGAGACTTCTTTATTGTTAAACAACGAGGAAGAGGATTGCTGGAGACAAGCTAAATAAGGAAGCTGGAGTATCTTTTCTTTTTAATTCTGATGGAGAAACAAGGATAGAAAGCTGTTTATTTTATTATTTTTAAATAATCTGTAGCCTTGGATTTCTTTGTTGTGAGCAGCTGAAATTCTTTGATTTTTTTAGGAATACTGACTGACAATCAATATCCTTTGACCACTAGAGGGAGCCAAGAAGATGGCCACATTTGTGCATATTTTTAGGAAAGTTTTTTGAAAATTCTCTACAGAAAATTATTCATTTTATAGGCTAAAGATATAGATGATAGATAAAAAGAGCAAAAGATACAGTTATGTGTAGAAAATTATCAAGCCACTGAGGCAATTTCACAAATATCTGACAATGTAAAGGACTTAACTGCAACTTTAGAATACAAACCTGACACCATTTTTTATTACAATGATGGCTTGAATGCAACCCTTTTAGCGCAATTGAAACAAGAGTTTCTAGCAAATTCGCAACTCTCAAGAGGACATGTTTGGGACTTTTTCTTCATGAGATTGAGAATTCTTCAAAAAGGCATTCAATAGACTTTTCAGAGAAGATGATTTTATTCTAGAAAAAGAGCTCCAAGAAAATTAAAACTTTCAACAGAACAAGAAAAGATTGCAAACCAGAGAAAACAATGTTCTGTTATTTAACAGATTTAACAGATAATCAGAGTTGGAAGGGATCTTGTAGGTCATCTAGTCCACCCCTCCCCCTGCCCTGGGAGACCCTACACCATTTCTGACAAATGGCAGTCCAATCTTTTCTTAAAAGTCTCAAGTGATGACACTCCCATAACTTCCAAGGGCAAGCTGTTATATTGATTGACTGTTCTTACTATCAGAAAGTTTTTCCTTATTTCCAGGTTAAATCTCTCCTTATTCAGTTTCCATCCTTTATTCCTTGTCTGGCCTACAAGTGCTTTAGAAAATAGCTTGACCCCTTCCTCTCTGTGGCAGCCCCTCAAGTATTGGAAGACTGCTATCATGTCTCTCCTGGTCCTTTTCTTCACTAGACTAGCCATGCCCAGTTCCTATAACCATTCTTCTTATGTTTTAGTCTCCAGTCCCCTAATCACCCTGGTTGCTCTTCTCTATTTAGGTAGGTGGGTGAAAGATTACAAAAAGTGGGCTGTTTAAAGATCAAAGCATGAATGAAAATGATTGCTGTTTGATTAATATCTGTCTAGGAAAAAAGCCAGTTTGTTTAAGCAGCCTATTCATATGTATATATGGTAAAGGAGTGAATATATATTAAAAATCATAATTTATTTCATAGTTTATTGAAGAAAATTTGAGAGAATTAGTGAAGAAAACAAGGGATATTCACAATATATAAAACTTGGTGTCATCAACATAGTGATGGCACCCACTTCAGCATTTTGAATTCTTTACTATTAATCTCATGTAGGTGACGAACATCATAAGGGAGTAGACGGAACATTATAGGACACTATAGGCCAAGACCCATATAAACAAATTCTTCCAGAAGGTTACAAACTGCATACATCCGGGGAGGGCGGGGGGGGGGGGGGGGGGAGAGATCTGTTGGAAAAGAAAAGTGTGGAAGAAAATGGAAAATGTGTTTCCTAAACTTGGTGCTCCCAGATATTTTGGAATTAGCAACCAGATTGTTGTAGGCAGGGCTATATAGGATGTAGTAGTAGAAGAAGAGGATCCTCATAAACGCTCTATTAATAATATTTTTCTCTGTAAGTTATTTTTTCAATCAAAGCATATAATAAATTTTCTTTTATTGTATGTTTGCTTATTTATTACTTACTTTAAACTACATGTAGATTATTTTGTTGACCAAGAATGAATTAAATATATTATTTTTTACATTCATAACTTTAAGAATATGACTTCCCAAAATAATGCTTAGTATAAATGAAACAATTACTGTAGTTCTATTTTGCTCTAAAAGCTTAGAGTATGGTAACAGTATACAAGCTATCCTTGGCTGACAATAGTTCGTTTAGTGACCGTTCAAAGTTACAATAGCACTGAAAAAGTGAGTTATGATCATTTTTCACCCTTACGACCACTGCTTACACCCCGTAGTCACTGATTCAGAATTCAGGCGCTTGGCAACTGACTCATATTAATAACCGTTGCAGTATATCGGGGTCATTTGATTATCTTTTGTGACCTTCTGATAAGCAAAGTCATTGGGGAAGCCAGATTCACTTAACAACTGTGATACTAACTTAAGAACTGCAATGATTCACTTAACAACTGTGGCAAGTAAGGTTGTAAAATGAGGCAAGATTCACTTAACAAATGTTTTTGCATAACAATTTAAATTTTGGGCTCAATTTTCATAAGTCGAGTTTACCTGTAGTAAGCATTTCCATTGACTGCTAGCTAGGAATTATGGAAGATGAACAACAAGCTTTGCTTTCTTTTAACTGAAGGTTTACCTTATCGACCTATATCCCCACCATCTTCCTTCATTTACTTTGACCCCAAATTCCCAATGAAGTTACACACAAAGCTAAGTAACTTTCATTAATAGCATATTTTTAAGGAAATACCGGTACTTAAAACTCAAATATCTAAAATTCCAAAGGCATTTATAAGTCTTCTTCAATTATTGAAGTTATATGCAATTTTCTATATGGGATGAAACAGATAGAATGTATAATGTATTGTTTGAATTGCTTTTGTTTTTAAGAGTGAAAAGAATTGAGAGGAATTCTGTAAGAACTGAGAGTTTAATACAGAAACTAAAAGGTTTAAGGTTAACACTCTTAGCAAAAGAAGATTTATCTTCAGTCAAGAAAGTTAATCCTGCTAAAAAAATTCCAGGTAAAAGTTGTTTGTAATTTTTAAAAAATCAGTTTTGTCTGACACCAGGAACACTAACTAACTTCTGTATTATATTGCAATGTTAATATCTAAGATTGTTTTGAATAATTATATGCTCTCCATTACATTCTAATCTTAGCTGAACCAAGATTGAGGGCCAAGACGAAATGGACAGTTGGATCGTGCCCTTTATACACTGCTTAAAAAAAATAAAGGGAACACAAAAATAAGACATCCTAGATCTGAATGAATGAAATATTCTTATTAAATACTTTGTTCATTACATAGTTGAATGTGCTGACAGCAAAATCACACAAAAATTATCAATGGAAATCAAATTTAGCAACCCATGGAGGTCTGGATTTGGAATTACACTCAAAATTAAAGAGGAAAGAAACACTACAGGCTGATCCAACTTTGATATAATATCCTTAAAACAAGTCAAAATGAGGCTCAGTAATGTGTGTGGCCTCCATGTGCCTGTATGACCTCCCTACAATGCCTGGGCATGCTCCTGATGAGGTGGCGGATGGTCTCCTGAGGGATCTCCTCCCACACCTGGACTAAAGCATCCCCAAACTCCTGGACAGTCTGTGGTGCAACTTGGCGTTGGTGGATGGAGTGAGACATGATGTCCCTGATGTGCTCAATTGGATTCAGGTCTGGGGAACGGGCAGGCCAGTCCATAGCATCAATGCCTTCATGTTGCAGGAACTGCTGACACACTCCAGCCACATGAGGTCTAGCATTGCCTTGCATTAGGAGGAACCCAGGGCCAACCGCACCAGCATATGGTCTCACAAGGGGTCTAAGGATCTCATCTTGGTACCTAATGGCAGTCAGGCTACTTCTGGTGAGCACATGGAGGGCTGTGTGGCCCCCTAAAGAAATGCTACCCCACATCACTACTGAGCCACTGCCAAACCGGTCATGCTGGAGGATGTTGCAGGCAGCAGAACATTTTCCAGACTCTGTCATGTCTGTCACATGTGCTCAGTGTGAACCTGCTTTCATCTGTGAAAAGCACAGGGCGCCAATGGCGAATTTGCCAATCTTGGTGTTCTCTGGCAAATGCCAAACGTCCTGCACAGTGTTGGGCTATAAGCACAACCCCCACCTGTGGACGTTGGGCCCTCATACCACCCTCATGAGTCTGTTTCTGATCGTTTGAGCAGCCACATGAACATTTGTGGCCCGCTGGAGGTCATTTTGCAGGGCTCTGGCCTCCTGTCCCTCCTTGCACAAAGGCGGAGGTAGCGGTCCTGATGCTGGGTTGTTGCCCTCCTACGGCCTCCTCCACATCTCCTGATCTACTGGCCTATCTCCTGGTAGCACCTCCATGCTCTGGACACTATGCTGACAGACACAGCAAGCCTTCTTGCTACAGCTCTCATTGATGTGCCATCCTGGATGAGCTGCACTACCTGAGCCACTTGTGTGGGTTATAGACACCGTCTCATGCTACCACTAGAGTGAAAGCACCGCCAGCATTCAAAAGTGACCAAACCATCAGCCAGAAAGCATAGGAATTGAGAAATGGTTTGTGGTCACCACCTGCAGAACCACTCCTTTATTGGGGATGTCTTGCTTACTGCCTATGCTTTCCACCTGTTGTCTATTCCATTTGCACAACAGCATGTGAAATTGATTGTCAATCAGTGTTGCTGCCTAAGTGGACAGTTTGATTTCACAGAAGTGTGATTGACTTGGAGTTACATTATGTTGTTTAAGTGTTCCCTTTATTTTTTGAGCAGTGTATTTTTTAAAATGGATGAATACTCAGGATGAAACTTAAATTAACACATGCAATATATGAAAGAATAGAATGAATACTCTGAATAGCAGACTCAATTCTACTCTTTCATATATTGCATGTGATAGTTAAGCAAACCTCTCTGCTGACTTTGAAGTTTGGTTTATAATAACAAAATGCTTTTTTGTTATAACAGAATTTGTATACCGATAGTTTGAGACAGGGGAAGGTCAGTCCCCTTACCCGGTTCCTGTGTGTGTGAGAGAGAAACAGAGAGAAACGGTGAAACTCTTTCAAACAGCGTTGCCATTTCTCTCTCTCTCTCTCTCTCTCTCTCTCTCTCTCTCTCTCTCTCTCACACACACACACACACACACACACACACACACTTGATTGCTTGAAAAGGACAGGCTGCGCTTTGCTTCTACCATGAGACTCTCCCCCCAAGCCTTCAGTGTATCCCAGGACTGCAACGCTGAAGGCTCGGCAGGAAAATGGGAAGGGGGATTTTCCTGCCTGTCCTCCTTTTCTCAGTCTGTGCTGAGCTTAAGAAAAGTACAGTCAGGAAAATCCCCCTACCCATTTTCTTGCTGGATGTTCCCACTTCCAAGCCTTCAGCATATCCCAGGATTGCAACGCTGAAGGCTCAGCAGGAAAATGTTGTTTAGAAAAGACATGCAGGCCCAGATCAGCTGTTTTGTGGACAACGTTCAGACTCTGAAAGTGGTGCAGATCAGCTGTTTACTGAGCCATGGAGGCGCTAAGTGGGAGGGGCAGCTCGCAGCCCCCACCCTTCTCAGTATGGGGAAAAATAGGGAAAAATATAAGACCTCCCTGAAATTAAGACCTGCTGGCTTTTTTGGTGAAAAAATATAAGACTCACTCTTATTTTCAGGGAAACACGGTAGTTTGAATTTATAGACTGTCAGTATGACCACTGATGGAAACTTTCCTCCTTTTTTTCAATAGGTCTTAACTTGAAAGACTCTCTTGATATAGATGCCCTTTCTAACCACTTAGATCATCTACAACAAAGGTTGAAGGAGTTGAAAGAAGACATGCTGACAAAATACATTCCCATAGAAAACACAGCCAATGTTGAAGGAGACATGAATCACGCTCTTCAAAAGCGAAATAGGGCTGAAAAGAATAATGAAAACCTGAAGTTTTGGTATAAAGGTCCCTTTTACAATATGCACTTACTTATTTGAAGTATTTCCCTTTCAATTAATTTTTTGAATAGAGAGAATAGCTATAATAATTTTGTCCACTTTATTTTCATCAGTTTAAAGCAATGACTTAGAATAGATCCTAGAATTGTAATTTCTAAAATTGTATAATAGCAACTGTGGTCAGATTAGCACTCAACAGAAACTCAACAACCCTCAACTGGAACACAGCAGTCATTAATAGGTTTAATGGAGAAAATCAGTGCATAGAAGACATATTAATTCCAGGCATTTGGGTCAGAATGTTAGGTGATTTCTCTATGTATTTCTCTTAAAATGTGTTTATTATTTTATCCCTGATGCTAGGAGTTCTTTGCCATCCAAAGTGACCACTGTGAGATGAGTGGCCAAATAAATAAATATTTTCCATATTTAAAGCTTGGTTCCTGGTATTCCTAATACTATTAAATATAATAATAATTATTATCTAATAATAATTTACAATAATAGATTTTTATGAAACAACCAGTTGAAGTTTATTGGCAACATACATTACAGTACAAAATACCCCCACATAAAATCTGAGAAAGCCAGTCAGTCAGAATAACTAGTATTTGATTAATAGATCGGTGATATTATATAATATTAATAACTTTGATAATTAAAAATAAATTTAATTAGTATGTTTTGTGTAAGAGCTTGTTCATGTATTATATCATGAATGTACATTCCACTAAAATATCAGAAGAGCCTGCTGAATCAGGCCAACTCCCAGTATTTTGTTTTTCAGAGTTGACAATCAAATTCTTTTGGATGCTTGCAAACAGAAAACAAAAAAAAACAGAATTATTTTTTCCACCATTGTTCTTTTTAACTAAATGTGGAACTAAAGTTAATATTGTGAATGAACCCACTTAATCAAATAGAAGTAAATACAGTCTAGCAAGGGACTTTCTGATAATATGCATATGAAACCCATTTTTAACATGGAGATTTGCCAGTATAGGAAACTCTTCAGATCAGTTAATACTTCTTGCAACCATAACTGTAGTGTTGTTATGTATGTGTATATTACGTGTCACTGACAAATTTAGACATTGGGGAAATTCTTTTTCTCAGGAAGCTTGTCTTGTGTTTTTATACAACAGAATAAAATAATATGGTAAGGACAATCTTGGAGAATTCAAACTACAGGGGATACTGATACAGTCACATTTTAACCAATATTCTCCTTTTTATAGTTTTTATCGGCTAACTCGGTTTGCAAATGTGATTACTATCTGGGAGAATACGGACAAGAATATTGACACACTGCAGCAGCTCATCCATCAAATGATAGAAAATGAGAAACTTGCAAAAGGTAAAAAAACACATTAGACTTCATCTTTTTACCACAAATCAGAAAAAATACATATTTCTGGTGGTGCGCTAAAGTAAATGTGTCTCTGTTATGCTGGAAAAACACTGTGCTATTTATTTGCAGAAATAGGGCTTATATTGTTTTTACTGTTCTTTATTGGGCCTTCTTATCTATACCTATATTGTGGGAACTGCATTGATTGCCAATAGATTTCTGGATGCATTTTGTAGTGTGCTAATTACAACCTATAAAAGCGTTGTAGCATAGGTCCTTGTTATCTGTGAGACTGTCCTAAAAATCATTAACATTTTAATAAACAGTAAAAATTAATGCAAATTAAATTAAAAGAAAAATGAAAATGAAAATGCAGAAAAAAAGAAAAAAGTAGAAGGGAAAAAAAGCCAAAGATAATAATAAAGAAGTTACTTCCAACCTTAATCACACCAAATACACATGTACTGTTGGAAGAAATATCCATCTGGTTCAGTTCCAAGTGAGGAGAAAAACACCGCAAACATGGAGGCTGATTGGAAAGATGGTTTATTGGTGAACATGGGTTTAAGGTCCACATGGGTTTGAGGTCCTGGGCAGCTGACCAAATGGAATGGAGAGTGAGGGTTAGGATTAGGATTATACCCTCTCTTGGGCCTTGCCCTTGAGCGTCCTGTTCCTGTGAATACAAGAAATACAAGAATACAAGAAATGTATTCTATTGGCTGTAGTCAGACTCCCATGGGGCCATGGCTAATTTTATAGGTTGTCTAAGTCAAGCTTGATTGAAGCGTGGGCTGATGCAATGAAGGGGCTTATTATGTAGTTCCTATTGTGGCAGAATGGCTTTGCCCTCCCATCATCCTGGAGCTGAAGATCTTTTGCTTTGTAGATAAACTGGCCCAGTCCTTCTCAGTGGGCACCAAATATCTGCTGGGGCCAGGGAGCTGAGGCTGAGTTTCTGTCTCCCTTAAGATTTTTTTTTTTTGGTAAAAGTTTTATTGGGTTTTCACAAAACATAATAGAAATCAAACATCTTTTTTTGAGAGCAGCATGATTCCAGGTTATCACATCTCCATACAGACATAATCTGTTACATATTCATCTTTGTATTCAATTTCATATCTTATCACTATTTTATCAATTTTTCAATAATTCTTCTCTTCCCTTACTTTCCTCAGCCTTATTTTATAATTATCTCATTCCTTTCTAATTCAATTACATATCTTTTTCTAAATTTCTATATCTTTCTAGTCATTGTACTTGTACTTTTGTCTGTCCTACTTACAATTTCATAGATTCTTTTCCATCATCATCCCGAAAAAGAAGAGAAAGAAGAAAATTCCCTCCCCTTCCAGGCATTAAAAAGCAAGGTTCCCCTAATAATTAACGAATAGAGTGTCACCTTTATATTTTAAAATTATTATCCTTTCAAATCTCATTAAACATTTAATTTATACATTATACAATTATAACATTCAATTTCTAATATCTATTTTATATCATATAACTCTTATCAACCGAATTCCACTTGTTATTTTCCCTTAACAATACACTTAATTCTAAAAAAAGAAAAAAATATATAAAAATAATGAATAAAATGATTAATCCATTCAAATTCATCCTGACAACTGATATTGATTTCATTATAAATCTTTCACATTTCTCTTCAATTGTATTTTATAAATCCTTGAAAACAATTAAATTATTTTCATTCATTCCTCTTATTTGCTAGCAAGCATTCCATTACATCACAATATCAGTTTTATCTTTCACTTTAATCACTTATGCTTCATATTTTCTAGCTCATTACTATTTCTAATATAACAATATATCTTGTACCCTTGCAGAATCCTCTCTTTTAATTTATATTTTTAACCTTTATCTTTATGTCTTTTAAGTTGGCTAATACCTTTAATCCTTCTATGTTTCCCCTGTTTCTTTATTTCCTGTTTCTATCCCTTATAACTTGGTTTCCTTTTTATCTTTCCCCTCTTTTTCTCTCCACCCTTTTTGTCCCCCTGTCTCTCTGATTCTCCCTTCTGTAATCTTCTCTTCTGCTTCTTCCTAATGTTATATTTACTTTTCAAACTATTCTTTTTTTTAGTTGTTTCTCCAAGGCTTAACTTTTTAACTCCTTTCCCCCCTTTTTCCATTTTTACCTCACATTGCATTGTTTGGTCGTAAAAGATGGCTTCTTCTTTGTCCAGCCCTTCTTGTTCTTCAAGTGTTTATTGTTGTTTTTCATAGTTCAAAATCTCCATTTCTAAAAATTGAAATGTGAAGCCAAAGGATCCTCTTCCCGCTTGTGACTCTTCTTTCATTTTTTTAAGTTCCATTTTTAATTCCTCACGGAGTACTGCCATTTTAAACACTTTTAAACAACCACTCGATTGATTTTAATTCAAAACACTAAAAATCCAACACCCAAAATTCCAAAAATCACAAGTAATCCAAAGCTCTCCACACCACAAGCCAGGCAAACACCTGGGCACAAACAGATCCCCCCTGATACCTCCAGCTCAAACACACCCCAATCAGGCACCCAGATGAAACCTAGCTTCCTAACTAATGATAGCCATCCATTTACCTGGAGCCAAGCTGCACTAAACGCCTCCAATAAAGTAACACAACGTTGCCAGCCAATCAAGATACAAAAAGAGCCAAAAAACAGACAGGAGATATTAGAAACACCAATCAAGCAGAACACAGCAAACTCCAAGACCAATAAACACAGACTAAGACTCCCAACCAATCAGGATGAAGAAAAAACCATTCTGGCACAGCAATAGGCTGCCCCAAATTTAAATCTGAAACCACTGTAAAAGTCTGACTCACAGATGAACACTATACAGAAGCCTGATGATGGAAGATGAGATGCTGCCGAAACGTTGCTACAACTTTAAAAGTACAACTACAATGACGTGGGAAAATACCCGAACAAAGCTGAATGCCATATATATATATATATATATATATATATATGTGGATCTTTGGTTGTTCGGGTTTTCTCCCGCGTAAGATTCGAAGTATCTAGGCAACGTTTCGATGAAGTCTCATTCAACATCTTCAGGCTTCTGTCTCCGGCTCTGTGCTTCTCAGAGTAATGTGAGATTGCAGCTGCTTCCTCCTTTTAACTGCCAGTGGGGGTGGGACTTGATTGGGTGGGGGCTTGGCTGTGTTCTGATTGGGTGGGGGTGTGTTCTCATTGGTAAGGGGTTTGGCTGTGTTCTGATTGGTTGGGGGTTTAGCCGTGTTCTGATTGGTTGGAGGCGTGTTCTGTTCAGGTGGGGGCTTGGTTGTGCTCAGGTTAGTCTTAGTTGCTGGGGGATTTGAGCTGGTGAGTTGTGATCTTGCTGTTTGGCTTCGAGTTCGTGGTCCTTCTGCATCTTCATAGTGGGTGTCGGTTTGCTTCATGTATGGCTCGGAGGGGTTTGAAGTGGGTAGTGATGCAGCTGCCGTGCAGCTTCTGGTCCATGGTCGTGTCTCATCTTCTGAGTGGGTGGGAGTCTGTTTTCTACATGGAAGTGTGGTGGTGGCATCTTGTGTGGCTCTCATGGGTGTGGGTCTGGTGTCCTTCTTCATGTTAGGTACTCGTCTGTTCATGAGGGCGGGTTTCCAAATGGCTGGAAGGCGGGAGGTGTCATCTCGTTTGTTCATGCTGTGTGGGCGTTTTTCTATCTCTATGGCTTCTCTGATTATTCTGCTGTTGAAGTGTTCGGTTTTGGCGATAGTTCTGGTATTTTTAAAATCAATTTCATGTCCTGTGGCTTTGAGGTGTTGGACCAGGGAAGAGGTCGTTTCTTCTTTTTTGATTGAGTTCTTATGTTCTTCAATGCGTGCACTTATTCTTCTGTTAGTTTGTCCAATGTATGTGGTAGGGCAGGCAGTGCAGGGGATTTCGTATACTCCTTGGTTTTCTAATTCGATTTTGTCTTTGGGGTTTCTTAGGATGGTGGATATTTTTCTGTTTGTGCAGAATGCTGTTTTGATGTTGTGTTTTTGGAGGATCTTGCTAATTTTGTCTGTAGTGCCTTTTATATATGGGAGGAGGGCTTTGCCGTTTTCTTGTTCTCTGTCTTGGATTTTGGTTGGGGTTTCTTTTTGGATTAGGTGGGTAATCTTGTGTCTTTGGAATCCATTGGCTGCAAGTACGTTGGTGAGAGTGTGTAGTTCGGTTTTTTTGGTGTTGTTCATCGGCTAAGCATTTTGTTCTGGAGATGAGTGTCTTGGCTACGGAATTGATCTGTGCTGGGTGGTGGTGTGAGAGTGCATGTAGATAGCGGTTAGTATGTGTTTTCTTCTGGTAGATGGTGTGTCCTAGGGAGCCATTGGATCTTTTGTATACCAAGACATCTAGGAAGGGAAGTTGATTGTTGGCTTCTGTTTCCATGGTGAATTGTATTTTGGGGTGTAGGCTGTTGAGGT